TTGATCTTTTCTGACAATAATTAGAAATTTGTCTCAATATGTAAACCAATGTTCTCGCTAGTTTCTGTGTGCTTTATCTCCTAACTTATCAACCTCTCCACAATGTACCTTTGAGGGTTTACTTGATAGTTAAATAGTCCCTCCCTGATAGACGTGAAGCAAATTATCACTGTATCTAAAAGTAACTACGATAGCAGACAAAGAACTTAGAACACAAAGGCATGTTCTGATGCTAACAAAGTCTATTACAGCTCACGGTGACGTAATCAAACAAGAACAGTCAAATTCAAACTAAAAATGTGAACTAGTGGTCAAAGATAATACAATTTAATTTTAATTTAATCTGCTCAGTAACTCTTTCATATGAGGAAACAGAAATGGGAAATTATAGTAAAGGCCAAAATGATAAACATTTAAGTAATTTACATAATAATAACTGCACATATCTTTGAAGAATAATTTTCCTTATGTATTCGGCTTCTTTCTTTGACGTGTTTCCTTATAATTTTAGAATTTTTGGATTTAATAAAGGATTTCTGTTATTCTCAAAAACACTAAATGCATTTAGAATGTACAGAAAAAGCAGCTAATTTAATTTTTTAGTTATATGAGCATTCAGAAGAAATATAAAATATAAATGGTAAAGGCCTGTTACACAGCAGATGTGGCAGAATTTTTAGAATTTAGTGACACACAGAACAACAAAATCTAGAAAAAACTTTTAGAATTTAGAGCAGGCATTGGAAGCAGAATTTAGATAGGCACTAGGCAGCAGAATTTAGGACACACAAAGATTGCATCAGGTGGGAAAAGGCATAGCACCAGCTCTGTGTACGATGCATTTAGACACATTACATGAATCTTTTAAATTGTAAGTTTTCAATTTCTCTATTAATAAAAAAAAACTCTTTCTATAATGCCTGCCCAAGTGATAAGATTAGAAGCATTTTTGATATTTTCCATGCTTTTGTCTAGTGAAAAGTAGAGAAAATAAAGTAAAGATAAACATGTTAAGAAAAAAGATTCTAGTATCAGGAGTAAAACATTCAAATATTATGTTTCCATTGTTCTTGCAGACATTCTCCAAATAGTAAGAAATTCATCGCAAACTTTCTGTAAAATGCATCCATTACGTGTTGCTATGTTGATACCATGGAGACATTTTTCATTTTGTCACTTATTTCTCGAATCTTCTAGAATCGTGGGTCTATAAATCTTGCCTTCAAATTCTTCTAAGCTTTCCATGCTGTAATTCTTCTAAGCTTTCCATGCTGTAATGTCAAAAATACTAAAGAAAAATTATCCCAAACAATTCTGTAACAGTAAAAAGCCAGTAACATTTTGAAAAAAAAAAGGGGGGGAGGAAAAATTGTAAAATTAATTTTATACAGAAAACTGATGCATATTCTCAGAATTTTGAATAATCTGAGACAATTACATGGGAAAAACGCTTATTATGAAAAAATTAAAAAGAAGACATTTTAATTAACTACATAGCTAATTTTGCTCTTGCTAAGAGCTGTTTTGTAAATTATGCTTTATAGCTATATACCTTTTTTATTTTTTAGATTTAAAATATTGTATAAGTTGCCAAAATGAAACTTTATAATATAACAGCGAAAAATAAAAAATGTTTTATTTTAATGTTATTTTTTAAATATAATTCTAATATATTACCATTATTTTAATGAAATTTATCAATGTTATGATGTTTTAAAAAAATCGCCGAAACATTCTCAGATCTCGGAATTAAAAATTTTCTATAGAAAATGATCTTCAAATTGTGAAAATGTTGACAAGTTGTCAAATTTAGAACCATTTAATAAAAGAATTCACAACCCCAAAAGCGAAAAGTTGTTTAAGAGCTCTTTATTAGAAAAAATGAATTTCAAAATGCTTATGTTTCACTTCTTGCTTAGAAACTCGAGTATCCCATCATTGATGTTAGAAATAGAAACAAATTATAACCCATGAACCCATTCAAAAGATAACCATATACGTCAGTGAATTGCCAAAAATATTCCTCCAAAATGCTAATTCACACTCAAAACGGCAGTTGTAAAAACGGAGAGAAATTTCAGATGATGAAAATTAAGTTCCTTCTACTGATTTTGGCCAAAATTAAGGACTTTTAAAGACCAAAAATCGATTTAAAAAAATTAAGGACTTTTAAGGACCGTACAAACCCTGTAGCACCCCCCAACCATCAGCAAGTAATCACGCTGATCTATTGGCCATAGTTTTAAAGTCAAAGTGTTCATGTTCTAGTGTATAATTGTATTATTTATATTGAATTGTTTATTGAATAATTATAATATTTTGTATTGAAGTGTAAAATATGTCAATCTTTAATTGGCTATGATGAGAGGAAAAAATGCACATAATTTATTATTCATAAATTGTATAATCTATTTCTTTTCCAAGTTTTATCTGAAGGAAGAAAAATTTTAAATATTTTCTAATCAAAGCTTACTATTATAAAAACATATTCAGCAAAAAAAAAAAAAAAAAAAAAAAAAAAAAAAGCATCATATTTGTGAACTATCAACATGCATCATATTTGTGGACTATCTGGCATTTAGATATTTTACCAGATATTTTCATTCTATTCGAACTCTTTTTATGAAAAGGACTTTCAAAAAACAAAATGGACATTTTTAACAAAATTGAGGACTTTTGTAATTATAACTTATTTATCAGTATTCCATATTTATTGTGTTTTAAAATTAGTCATATATTGTATGTTTATTTATAACTCATAGTTTTAATGTTCAAAATTTCATATGCTATAAAGTCAAAAATTTATATGAGAAAGTCATGAACTATGATAGGCCATAGTTAAAGCTTGTACGCTATGTCCTGGATGTTTTTCATGTCTTTTCTCATACTTTTGCTTTACTCCTGTACTAATGCTTTTCTTATCCCGGCCTCTCCTTTTTGACGGGGGGGGGGGGGAAGATGTAAAATATAAAAAAAAAATATGATGGCTTTGCTCTTTGCGAACCAGCAACCTTTAATTAATTTTCTGCAATTCAGGATCTTCCTCTAGACCAGTACCTTCCAGAACATTTGCGCTTATTACATAACCTCCTCATATAAATGCTGCGTTTTTCTACATTTTTCTAGAAGCTACTCTGTCACATAACCTTTCATATAAATGCCGAGTCATAAGTTCTCCTACACAGATGCCTTCTCGCCTTCATTCTGCTAACGCCTCCGCTATGCTCCTCTTTCTTTGTTAGAACGTTATAACGTACTAAAGTCAGTCGCATCTAATAACTCAATTACTGAATAAGTTATTTGAGTAACTTCATCTGGAAAAAATCATCTGCTCTAAAATAAAATAAAGATATGCTGTTAAAAGTGAAAAGTCCTGAGTCGTCATTTTTTCTCCATGGTGCAATCATCTCAGCTTCGTCAACCATCTGCCAAAACGTAAAAAGGAATATCCTCACCATTCACCCACGATGTGTTGGAATAACTGAAAACATTATATATATACAGTTAAAAGTCGTTAATCCAGACTCGTCGGGACTTCGGCGATTCCGGATTATCGATCATCAGTTTAAATCTGGTAAGATGACATGCAGAAATTATAAAATTAAAAATATGAAACCGTAATTTATGAAATAAAGAACAATTATGATCTAAAGGATATCAAAATTTACAAACAAACAAAAAAAAAAAAAGCTTCATATTTATTTATTTACTTTATTAAACATTTCTTTCAATGTAAGTTGTTAAGTTGCTTCACTTTTTATGTGATAATACATTCTCTTTAATTCTTTAAACAAACATAATTTCTTGTTTAGTTACAAAGTTCCGCTGTTCAAGTCCTATAATTGCTGTGTCCACCGACTAATTTGTCAATTGAAATTTTTTCGTTTTCAATAACCTCTCTCTCACTTTCTTCATCGGAAGCGAATTATAATGATGAGGAATTTGATTTAAATCATATCAAAGACGGAGCACATCGAGATGAAATACTACACTTAGTAAGGAATTATAAGCCAAATAAAATAAAAACATCTGCCCTGAAGATAAGGATAGTGCTGACAGATCAACTTCCAATTCATTGCGCGCCCGCTGCGGCATTAAAGATAAACAAAGTTTAGATAAACAAAGGATATGCCTTTATTATTTTTTGCAGCAATTCCACTTTTTGTTTAATGAACTTCGAAATATACTTTCGCTTTGTAGATCCTTTACATATTAATAAATATATATCAGAAATTCTAATTGACATAATCGAAAGTTTAAGCTTACTTTTATAAAATTGCTCTAACAGTCTGCAAAAAATAATAAGCCGGATCCAATTCGAAGATTAAGGAACAACGCAATCTGCAACATTAACTGAAATAGATAATTAGATAATTTTAGCTTAGCTTATACCGTTCGTTATACATTAAATGCGCACTCGTAAACGTATTTTGCGCACAAGCATATTCGCAGCCGTAAAGATCTTACGCGCATGCGTCGTGTAGCTTTGAGGTCTGGATTATGGGTGTCCGAATTAACGACTTTTGACTGTATATATATAGATATATATAAAGCCCTTGAACTTATGCTCTGACTAGTGTTTGGTAATGCTGCTTTTTGAATTGTAATTCCTTCCAGTATATAATTTTTCTCTCATTTCTTGTTGTTTTCTTAAATTTATGACATATTGAAAGGAAATATATTAACTATTGAAATGGAACTAAAAGCACTGAAACCATCTCATGATGGACAACCCATAAGTTGGATATATAGTGAACCAGATGTTGAGAAAAGTACAGGCCTTGTAGGAGATAAAAATGATTGAAAGAAAAGTAAATGAAAATTATTTTTAAATAAAGAAATAAAATAACTGGTAAATATCTACATACAAACTTTTTAATCTGATTTATGACACCTACATATGGTATTTTATTGATTAGCCAACTATTTATTTGTGTGGTTTACAATGTGGTCCCAGAGAGGTTGCAGGTTTACCGTAACAATAATAATAGTAATAATACCTGATGTTGGCTCCTTGAAGTCTGGAGATGTTTTCTGTTCTCTGTTTGGGGTCGATCTCATATAATTTCCAGATCCTCGCCCTCTGTCAGATTCCCTGTCGGTAAAGCCACCACGAAAGTTTCCAGTGCCACGGCCTCTGTTTCCTTCATTATATCTACCCCGACCTGAACCAAAACCAGGAGCACTTCGATCAAAACCTAACACAAATGGAATAAAAGATTATAATCAAAGATTCAATTCATACATTATGAAACCATTTACACTAAGAAAACTCAGCTTTCCCATGATAATAGCAAATAAATACTAATTACAAAAAGTTGAAAATTAGTATGTAGAAAATAAAGTACACCACATAAAGCTGTTACTGTGCATAAAAAGATTAAGAAAGTATTTACATTTAAGACAATACAGCTTGAAACTTAAAAGTGGCCAATTTCACGGCATCCTTGAGATAGTACTATTAATAAAGTGAAAGTGATGCCCCCTACCATTTATACAAATAAAACTTCTGCATGAAAACAACAGAAAAGTTCATCTTAGTCATATCACTTTTAAAATGTTAATTAATGAAAATGCAAAATATTTGGTCCAACAGGTTCGTTTTCTGCTAACTTTTCCAAGCAAATTTTCTATAGTCATGTCTGCTTAGTAAACTATGGATATTTTCAGTGCAATTAAAGCACAACAGCATGAAAACTTTCTAAATTCATACTACCAATTATTTGTACTAAGAAGCAAAATTCTCATCATAATTAAAAATACTAAAACACTGAATTCAACTCTATTAACTACACTAAATGCCTGCTAATATTTTGCTTCCAGAGGGAGACTTTTTATGAAAAGGGAGACTTATTTTCTAAGACAAAGATTAGGATGGGAAATACATGGAAGCATTACTCAACAAGTAACATTTTCACTAATATAAAATGCACAATAAGTATTAATTCTGCTTATCTGCTATACTCATGAAATGCTTCTTCTAGTTCCACCGTCTCTAATTAATTACAGTAGCAGACTAAAAATTCAAAAGTACAATCTGTACAATCTCTCAGATATTAACAGTGGAACAAAGTTGCAAAACTTCTGAGATAAAATCATCTCGTTTCGAAGCCCACCTCGAAAAATAAGTGGCACAATCATTACCTGCTAAAAAGATTGTGACAGTAAAAAAAAACCTTCTGGATTGAGGATCTAATCCTTTTTTTTTTTCGGAAGGGGGGACTGCACTAAGTACATGCGCATTTGATAAGTATAAAATGATAAAAAACAAAGACCCATATACCAAGTGGACAATGAAGCTACAAATTGCTTTTCTATGCAAAAGAAGAAGAAAAACGAATGCAAGCAGAAAACATAACATCTGCTGAGACGGACAATGTTTTAAATCCAGAAAAAAAAAAGGGATTTGGTTCATGATGATGATTTAAAGAACATTAAAAAAAAAAAAAATTACAACAAAGGTTTGCCTTCAGATTAACTGATATAAAAGTAATGAAACTGATATAAAAGTAATAAACTGATACAATTTAACTGATTAACAATAAACTGAATAGTACTTAAGTGATATAAAAGTAATGAAAGTACACATTATTTAAAGAGGGGACTCAAACAAGAACATTCTGAAGTTTAATACAAACAATACTTGAGGTATTAGCTTGCATCCATTGATACTCTGCAAATAATTCATCTGCTGCTTTTGGTGATGAAATATATTTTCTACTGCAGCAAATTAATTAAACGGGACTTTCTTAAGTTTGTAGCATGTATCACTTAGTAGCTGCATTTAAAATCTCATGCAACAGATTGCTGTAATTCTCAAAAGCTTCTCTCTGCCTCCACATCCACTGTGAGAAATAAGAAGCAAAGGGACTTCCTTAAAACAAATTTCTAGTTCTTATTATAAAAGGCTGAAAATTGGTTTAGTTTTAAATGTAAAGTTTTATTGTTAGTCTCTGTACATCTTTTTTGTACAATTGCACGATAAGAACTGGAATATTAACAATTTGTCTAGACAAAATAAATACCATGGCTGTAAATAATGGATTTCTCTTGCTTTACCTCTTTGCAAGTTGATACATGATGGAAAATTAACAAGAAACAAATGAAGAATCACTGCACAAGACGAAAGGATTGCTAAAATAATGATGTAATGTAAAAATAGGCTTACTTTAATTGATCTGAAGTTGATGCCAAAATAAGAGGAGGAAAAACTGTTCTTACCTTAGTTTGCTTACACCATTTATTACAAACAAAGATGCAGGGGATAGAATTTTTTAACAAAATCTGGAACAGCTTTTAAAGATGCCAAACTGCTTGCAAGAAATTTTGGGTGACACTGTTGGCAATGTATTAGCAAGGACAGCATCTAAACACCCAGACTATTGTAAAACAGATATTTCAAAAACTTTTTACGTCATTTTAAGGTTATTTGACTGTGGCAATGTACCAGAGATATCTATGTCATTTTAAAGGCTTTTTATTTTGATTTATAAAAACATCAAAAATAAATTACTTTGTATGTACTTTATTTTATTACCATACCATATTACTACATTACACTTTCTTTTTACTTTTTCTAGCCTACAATCTAATGATTTCCTTCCCCCAATGACCTGAAACTAAAGTCTTCGAAGCCTCTGGTACTAAGCTGTGCAAATATTTGACTGTCTATTACAGAATTCCCCCGCTCAATGTACACACACACATTAAAAATTTTAAAACAATTCATAATTAGTATTTACATGGCATTTGCTCTAACAAAAAGCCAATTAATTTATTACTTGAAACAATTAAAATAGAAGCTAATAATATGTAATTTTTTTTACAATCATCTACAAAATATCACCTAAACAAATATAACACATCAAATAATACTATACACAATGCACATAAGGCAAACATAAGGTAACGCAATATTTAAACGCGTTCTCATGGTGAATTTTTACAGACACGTCACATAATTCAGTGGACTCTGATACAGTAGGATCTACGTCTTGAATGTAAAACCACCAATGAGCCCTAAATTAAAAAGGATTGCATGAAAGATGTGTGCATACTTGTAAGCATGCCTGTATTTTATAAAAATAAATACCTTGTCCTCCTCCTCTCCCACCTCTAAATCCACCTTTATCTCCTCTCCTGCCATCAGCTATGTCGACTCTTATAGAACGTCCTTCTGCCTCCTACATCAAATACAAACACGCATTATTATTAAAGAACTTGTAACTAATTTATTTTCACAGGCACTCCTTACAAAATAACCAGTGGTGAAACTTTAGCAAGAAGCAGCATAAATTTATAGTAGTACTATCCCACAAAAATTTGAAAGAAGCTGCATATCTTCTATTACCCTACATCCCACATAAAAAAAAAAAAAAAAAAAAAAAAAAAAAAAAAAAAAAAACATCTAATTTAGAAATGTTGATTACCAGCACAAAATCAGCACACTCATGAAAAATAGTTTCACAATTTAAATAAACAGAGTTTTAACAATATTTTTAGCTGTTTCTGAGGATCAAATTCTGTACTATCAAGCATTTAATACAATGATTAGTTTATTTCATTCCTATGTACTGTAATCAGCAGCATACTTGCAGTGTTTAGACCACAGGTTACCTAAATTTATAATCAATAAATAGCTTACTAATAACATAGATTCCTTGTGATGTATTAAATTGAGCATTAATATATTCACTTACAGCACCATCTAATTCAAGACCACGCTTTAAGGATTCTAAGTCATCAAATTCAACATAACAGTAACCTATAAATAAAGACAAAACACATTACTTATTTATCCTGCGTGCCAGAAAATAAATATAAAAAAAATGTAAGCACAGTAAATACATCATTCAAAATATTTAAATAAAACTATTTTTATCAGTAGCAGAAGTACAATGGTAGTAAGTGCCACTGCATTCTTTAACACTTCCAGCAGTCAAGTTTTGCCCTAAACTTTCAAACAGGCCATGAGTAAATGGTATTTTCTTGGTTATAAATTGGAAATGACCTTCTTTTGTACCCTGACTGTTTTTTTTCCAATATTTTTATTAATTTAATTGCATACATTCAAAGACATGCGTCTGTGTACTTAAGTGTATTAAGACAAATATTTTTGCGAAGATGGATAGGATATATCATATAAGTATAGTTTCTTGCATGATGAAGGTGAAATTCAGTCCACTATATTTTCATAACCAGGTAATGTTTAGATAACTATATGATAAAATGTGGATGAAATTTAATCAGCTATAAATTTATCATAATAATGTTTATGCAACCAGGTATTACAGAGAGCTGCCATGCTTTCATCATAACAATGTTTGCACAATTACACATTTCAAAGTTAATACATTCATATACAGTGAAGGTGACAGTCACCCTCTTATACTTTTATTGTATGATCATGTTTACATGACCAGGTATTTCACAATTAAATCAGCAAAATTCCACCTGCTTTTGATGCTCATTAAAAAAACTCATATTCATTTTATACGCAGCTGGGCTTCAGTTAAAAAATTATTCACAATGGATTCCTTTAGATTCAAAAAGTGAGAAGACAAAATAGACAGTGCAATCTACTAAAAATGACAGAAAACTGCATAATATTCATCTAATAAAAGTCATACTGAGAACTGAAATCGGGGGGGGGGATTTAATAAATTACATATGATGAATATTCATGTTTTATGAACAATTTTCATAACAGGAAAAACAGCAGCTTCGGATTAAGAATAAGTGGCAGATGACTAATTTTGCTGTCCAGATTTAACACTTTTATGTCAAATTAATGTTCTGTTAACTGGTTACAAAAATTAAACATCATTAGCATACAGCAGACCAAATGTCAATTTTACATAGCAGATGTTACTACTGCAAACAGGAACAATACAAACAATTCACACATTAAGTATATAGGAGAGATCAAAGTGTCTAAACACCTCCAATTAAATTTTAGCTCTTCAGCAGTTTAAAATTTTATCAAAATTTCTAAAATTTTCTTATGTTAGCAATGTCTGCAGGATGATACTCAAATCTTCTGTACAAATACTAAGGAGAAGCGGAAAACACAAGAACAAAGTGCGCATCACGAGAAAAGGGCACTACCATTCTATTTCTAACAAATATAAATACTGAATATTAACATTTACCTTTTGCATCTGGATGTTGCACATTGGTTTTTACAGAAAACTATAGAATAAATGGAATTTCAGCTTACATTCTCTTTGCAGGTGAAATTTCTTTAATATTGGAGCAAACTGTTATTATACATATTGTTTTTACATGTTTATATACTGAATTTATACATAAAATACACAGTAAAAATTAAAGAAACTGCACCATGCATAAAAGAATGATGCAGTTTCAAAAGTTAATAAATTTCTCATCTCACAAACAAGGGCATAACAAACACCATCAATTCAGCACTATCAATAATATAATATAATATAATAAAACATGTGAAGAGTCTCGATTCGTAATTTCACTTCAGCACTAAATAAAATGCCTCGTTATTGAAGAAACAATTATTTCAGCACAAATTTGTATGATCGAGAATTTGGCTTCAATCCGTATCTGCTTGGTATATATCTCAAACCGAAACATTCTACATAGATACATCGTTGATTTTATACCTACTAATAATTTGTATCCCTGATGCCAACCTGGTAAATCATTATTTATTATATTTTGCTTTAATCATTGCAGGCTTATCAACACATGACAACTTGAGTAATGACACCTAAACAATTTTTTATCACAGTAATTGAATCATAAAGAGTGTGGTAACTTTTTACGTTGACATTACCCTTGGAGATGATTACAGAATTAAGTTAAATGCACAAGAAATGTTGATGAGGAAAAATTTAACAAAAATCTCTTTCCATATGCTAAAAATAGACAATGCATAGTGTTAATATCACATCAAGTAATCAAGTTCGGTTTTACTGCCCTGAACCTTATACAGACAAATCAGGTGTGCAAAATGAACGATTACCTGGTCAACCACATGCATCTGACGGATAACAATGTTTGTTACAGCTTCAATGTAAGGTTATTTGAATCTAGTAAAACATATGAGAACTATCTGCCTTAGGACAGAGATGAATTTGTGGAGGATTTTTTAAAGGGAACTGGCTTATGTTTATGTTATACACAGGGAAACCGTGACAACCAGTCTGCTCGCTTGAGTTCAAACCCAAATTGAAGTACCAGCATTTAGAGGTCTTAACCACTCAGCCACTGGTGAGACACTTTAAGATTATCGTCATATTCAACTGTTATTTAATATGGAAGTCAGTTTACCAGTTGCCAAGTAGATTAGACTTATGAATACTGGTAGTTTAACTTAGGTTAAAAGCAAGAACAGGCTTGCTGCATAGGTTTATGCATATGAGGCCATTTCCCTTAGAGTATCCTCCACAAAGGTATTCCTTCCCTTAGTTCTTATATGCTTATATCAATTAGGCTAACACACCCAACATCTAAGTGAGCAGTGTGAATAATACTGTTCTGAACTGGGACACCAGAAGACTTATTCATGCTGAGCTTAACCTGCTCACAAACAATCACAAAGCCATGAGGTTGGAATTGTCCATCATGCACTATGTTTTTACAGGGAAAGAAACAGATGCATCACGTGATACCTCAGACAAAACAAGAATCAATGTTATGACAATATGCACAGTCACCCCTTCCAAAAAAATTCAAACAACCCCATCTGCAAAGAAAGTTATGATAATGGATTTTTGGAGATTACAGGGTTCGTACACATTTCCTTACATGAAAATTAAGGACTTTTAAGGACCATCAAAGAAAAAATTAAGGACCTATCAGCAAACAAACAAAAAACAAAAAAAAAAAAAAAAAAAAAAAAAAACACGAATAGAATAAAGCAATTATCCATACAACCGACTTCACGCTTGTAATTTCACTTTAAGAAACTAACAGAAGTGTGTATTATGCACTATTATTAAATTCACTTTAATACTTACCATAAAACAATTTTGAAAATTAAACTAACTCCCTACAAGTTATGAAGTAGATAACATTAAATTAGGAACACAATTTCTTTAAAAACATGTATAAGTGTATTTTACACAAATAACAGTCACTATAAAATAGTGATTACATGATTATTATTTAACTTATTTGATATCTATTTAAACACAGTCAACTACTATTATAATCACAATGTAAGAATATTTTGCAGATTAAAATAACTGATTTGTAAATATACAATTTATTTCCTTGGTTTTTTGAAAGATACTAGAATAATAAATTTTACAATAACATCTAATTTATTTATGTCTATTTCCTTTTCTTTAACTATTCTTCTAAGTTCATTTGCTTTGATAAACAAATCAATGTTCATGCTGGTCTCAACTTCATCTACTAAAGCATATACTTCTTCATTAATATCTTTAATGTCCCTTTGAAGAAATTTTTTCTTCTGCTTCATATAATCAATTTCTTCCTCAATATTTCTTTTCCTCTTTGAATTTTCAGATTTAGTTAAAGATTTTTGTTCTTCTAAATACTGCATATATTTAGACCTTGCAGAAGCTGCTGCTGATCTCATTTCTTTATTAATTTCGATATTAAGAACACCTCCAGAAAATTTTATGTAATCAAATACTGTGCGTTGAAAAATGTATGATGAGTCACTTAAATTTTCAATTTCAATTGCTTTATTTACAGAGAAGCCCCTTTCCACAGAGGCCTGTCCATGTGACAAGATAAGAATCATTTTCACTATTTTCCATACTTTTGAATAGTGAAAATCATGAAAATAAGAAGTGAGAAATGTGTCAAGAGAAAGATTTTGAGGATCAAAAGTAGAAAATTCATGTAAATTTGTCTTAACTACTTTGTCTAGAAACTCACCAAACTGCAGCAGAATTTCATCCCAATCATCTTGTAAAACACATTTATTCTGCATTAATACCGTTAGAACTATTTTCATTTTGTTCTGGGCTTTTTCTGGACTTTTTAACCATCAATCGCGGGTCTATACAAGATGCATTTCGAATAAGAGAATAATTTATTGGACATTTAGACATTAAGTGTTGTACCATTGTTAAGACACATTGTTGACCTTCTTGTTTCAATGCAAAACTTTCAGCTTGTGAAATGTCCTTCTTGCGGCATTTATCATTCATTAACTGCTCAGCAATGAATCCCAAATAAACTTTACTTTTATCATTATAACAATTTGGATCATTATAATTAAATTTATAAAGATTTTCTGCTTTAGTTATTTTTGAATATTCTAGTTTCAAAATTTTAAAGTGCTGAAGGCAATCATTTACAAGTTTTAAGATATCTTCAGCAAAAAAGAAAATAAGTGGTTTATCACTTTGATAATATTCAAGGAAAGGCAATAATATTTTCGACAGAGAGAGAGAAAAAAAAAAAATTTAATATAAGAAATGTTTTATCTTTAGTTGCCTCCAAAATATTTGAGAAGGATTTCGATGAATTTTTTTTAAACTTCCCCATTTCAACTTCTTTAATGTACAGTAGCAAGTCATCCCATATTTCAATGGCTCTTTCAACTGCTGGGACATTTTGCAACCATCGGTAAAAGCAGAACTTCACAGGTAGCTTTTTTAAGCCAGATATACTTAAAAAATCTTCACGTCTTGCAGGAGAATCTTTAAAAATCCAATCTAAGGAGGATAAGAATGATGGAATGTCCCAGCCAGTGGATGACATCCTATGCTTGAAAGCATTGTTAAGAATGTGTAAACCACATGTCCCTAA